CTCCCCATAATATTACCGTGATAGTTCAGGAGTATTGTAATTTATGTAACGGACGACAATAATCCCTGGAGACCATCATCACATCTCTACAAGGATGGTCTCTTACTGGTCGATAGTGTCGTTGCCACCGTCTGCGAATGAAACATTCCCTGTCATTATCAGTCCTCACATAACCGACAGGGTGGTTTGCCGCCGCGTGCGCTGATGGGACCCGGCTCCAGAATGGACATGACTCTGGTGGGTTCCTTTCATGGCCCATTATTATTCCTGACTCCTGCCTGTTTGGTCCATAGCTTGTCGACCTTTCCCATCCATGTCGGAAATCCTCCGCAAGTTCCTGGCCTTGACTAAATCTTCCCCCAGTCCGTTATACACTACAGAAAAACAGAAACAAAGACAAGAAGCAAAAGAAGGAATTCTCGAAAATAGACGAATAATGGAATCAAACAAATTTCAGGGGAAGTGACAGAAAATGGAAACAGGAAGCAACGAAATTGCGTCCGTGATTATTTCACCAGTGGAACTACGGAGTAAAAAGTGGATGAGCTGGGAATCACACAATCTTTCTCTCTCCCGGCCCCGATAATAATATTCCCAATTGGGGATTCTTGAGCCTACGCGTGCTGAGGAGAGTTTATCCCCAGGTACCAACCTGTTATGAAGCTTCCTGCTGTGGAACAGTTAGCAGCTATCTGGCTCAGCAGGAACCATGCATAGTTATATGACCTGCATCGGTAGAGTACAGGGTTTGCGCATCTCCCAAAGCCTTCCATCCTACTAAGCCGAAAGGTAGACTAACCGGGAAAAAAGAAAAAAGAAAAACATGAACATCCCCGCACGAACCAAAGATGAGAGGATCTGAAAGATTGGCCAATTATCGGTGCAAGTGGCGGTCCATCGCGCGGGAATCCTTCTGTTTGAATGACTCGTGTCGTCAGAGACTTGGTCGAGGGGCGGTTCTTTACATAATCTCTCGAAGGGTCCCGGATCTGGATCAACCTATATTCCGCCCCCATCACATGACTGAGGTACATCCTTCTGGTCCCCTCAGGCCGCAAGGCCAAAACGGCTGACCGCCTGCATCATAGGTTCCTTATCACGCGGCGTCGGTGATAGTCCGGTCAAGTCAAACGACCATCATCATCCACCTCATCCCCTCTCCTCCTTCTAAATCTCGTTGGTTTGGAAACCAACCACCACCGGAAACTTCCTCTGTCGAACCATCTATATAAGCCTCCCCAAGCATCGCGTCCCGCTCCGTTTGTCTCTGGTCCCTCAGTGTGACTTACAACAGCCCTCACATCAGCTCCTTGATGGATGCTTGTTGACTGTCTCCAAGCTGCGGCCTAAGCGCTGCTCCGTTTGGATGTCTTGACCACTACATGGCAGCTATATCCATACTCATACACGATCGCCCAAGATGATGGCCTCAAACGTCTTGTCTCGCTTTCTCCCTCCGAACGGCTCTCCATCCGTCTACGAGACGATTCGTCAACATGATGCAGATTCGGAAGCCTCCGATATTGAAGAACGCGCAGGGATAGCTTTCGAAGATGACCAGCACGAACAATTCAGTGACCGTGAGCTGGAGGAGGCCCTGGCCGATGCGGGAGGCGATAACTTGTCAAGTCCGAACGAGGGCAAACCGTTCCTTCATCAACCAAATGCGCGAAGAAGCTCCTTCAACGATGACCGCCACAAACCAACGTCTCGCCGTCGCAAATTGAGCCGTCCCCGCTGGATGCACGCTAGGTCGCCTCAGAATGAACCGGACGACGGTGACGATGATGTTCCGGCGTCTCTCCTCGTGGAAGGGCGGGAGGATGACGAGGACCTCAAGGCTCGACTTCCTCCTCCCCCTAGCTCTCATGGCTTTGCGGATCAAGAAGCCTCTATTCCTGGCCCTTCGTCTCGCAGAGATCGTGCCCGCTGGGAGTCTGCTCGAGAACAGCTACCGTTGTATAATGATCAGCGGCGCCCACGCCCGAAGGTCTGGGGCCACCCCAATCTGGCTGCAGTTGATCCCAAGGAGAAAGCCATGTGGTTGTGGGCTAACGTGGAGAACTTGGACAACTTCCTGAAAGACGTGTACACGTACTTTCTAGGCAACGGGATGTGGTCCATTTTGCTCAATCGAGCCTTGAGCCTCCTGTATGTGGTTCTCTTCCTTCCCCGCCGGCTATAACAAATGCTAACGAACTGTTTGCGCTGCGATAGAACGTTCGGTTTTGTCGTGGGATTTACAACGTTTCTAACGAACTGCATCGACTACCAAAGCGTTCGAGGAAGCAAGACATTGGACGACATCCTGATCCAAAACTGTACCAGAAAGATGTCCCTGTCTGCTACCTTTCTACTG